CGTCCCTTTTAATTTTTTTGCGCATTTATTTACTTTCGCTTTTTTTTTTCATCTTATTATAACTGCTTCCCAGTTTGTAATAGTAACTAGGACTTTACTTTTCGCATTTCTATAATGTACCTCTCACAAAGCCATGTAATAGCGTAGGATTTACATTCCCGCACTTTACATTTCTGCACTTTAAATTACCGTATATACCACTGTTAGTAATTAGGGTTATATGGAAAGACTAATAACAAAAGGTTAGCAAACCTAACACAAGATTAAAAAAAATAAACATAACACACATTGCACATATACACCTCTAGGGTACCCCACTTTGGTTGCCTTCGGAAAAACGGTCACAATTCTCGAAACTTGAGAAGTTTTAGTGACTATCCTCTAGTTTGAAAATATCATAAGTCCTTCGATGACCCTCTCGACGTTGCCTCGGTTAAAAGTGATCTTAGAACTTTATAACAGTTACTAAAATTTCTTGCCAAGTTGCCTTCGTGATCGTATCGTCCCTTTGATGTCCCTCATACATCCAACGATAGGGTTACCTACTCCCTAATAGTAGGATAGCATTGTCTAAAGCAAAAGAGGAAAAGAATGATTTTTTTCGAGTACAAGTAGATAATTGTTAGATGCTTTCTTAAAACAAACTTTTTCACCTACACAAAAACACTTTCAAAAACACTTTCAAAAACACTTTCAAAAACATTCGCTTTGTCAACACTCTTGAGAACTGATACAAGAGTTATCACAAAGCAAATCGCCGCACTAAGGCATTTTAAACTACTTTTTTTTAAAACACAAAGCATAAGGTATTTAGAAAATGAGTTAAGCATCTAAGAGCTTGTAGATAACTATGGATGGAAAGGATGCTAACACCTCCCCTTTCCATAATCTACCCCCCTTACTCAAAATTCTCGAAAAGGTTTTTTTCTGTTCTTTTCACCCTTTCCTTAAATTGGATAAAAGAAAAGTCGGTGGTGACTCTTGCTTACCGCAACATTTGCAAACACAAATGCAAAAGCAGTATTAACTGTTGGTTCTGCCACCGTATCACAGTCTGCATATGTGCCTTTAGAGGAGGCATTCTACTCTCTAAAGCTTAATCCCACCTATGGTTTGTGTGATATAGAGATATTATGGGAAATGAGAGCATGTATTTTAACCCACCGAGTGGATGAGGTGACGAAGATGAAGACTATGTCTGAGTATGATACTTTAAAAAGAATTTCGACTTACCTAGATGAAAATAGATTAAAAGCTTCCTTAGAGGCAGAAGTACAACACATGGTTGTAGAAGCCAATGAACTATAAATTTATGATGTGGGTTAAAGAATAAACTTTAAGCCCGAACCACCAGATAAGCCACAACCAACAAGCATGGGAAATAGTGATTTAGAAGGCCAGAGGCTCAACTGCATTTATGATGACGAGCCTTTGGGTTTTGAGAAGGATCCCATCGCATCGTCCAAGAAGATGCAACCTCAGGATCCCTTGGAATAAATCGACTATAGTGAGGGGAAGAATATAAAGCCAACATATATCAATGCTAATATTGACCCCAACCTGAGAATAAAGGTAATCAAATTACTTCAAGAATATAAAGATTTCTTTGATTGGGACTACAATGAAATGTTCAGATTAAGATGAGCTTTGGTGGAGTTAAAGCTGCCAATAAAAATTGGAAAGAAGCCAGTCAAGCAAATGCCAAGACGGTTGCACCAGAAATCATGTAAAAAATTAAAGAGGAGATCAAATGACTCCAAAGAAGAAAATTAATTGGAACAACAAGGTATGTCGAGTGGCTTGTATATATAGTTCTGATAATTAAAAAGAATGGAACACTAAGGGTTTGCATAGATTTCAAAGATCTGAATGTTGCGACCCCTAAGGACAAATACCCAATGCATATCGCAGAAATGTTGGTTGACTCAGTAGAGGGTTTCAACTATCTTAGCATGCATGTTTTTTTTGGTTATAACCAAATATTTATTATAGACAAGGACGTGCTGAAGACAGCATTTGGATGCCCAGGAGCCTTGGGCACCTATGAATGGGTGGTGATGCCTTTTGGTTTGAAAAATGTCGGGCAATCTACCCGAGGGTAACGAATTTGATTTTCCATGATTATATAGAAACTTTTATAATAGTATATATTGATGATATAATCATTAAGTCTACATCGGGAAAGGTTCATCTTTACCACCTTTGACAATCATTCGAAAGAATGAGAAAATATGGACTGAAAATGAATCCCCTTAAGTGTGCTTTCTATGTGCAGACATGAGATTTCCTTTGTTTCGTTGTTCACAAAAGGGCATCGAAATAAGCCAGAATAAGACTAAAGCCATTGTTGAGACTAAACCTCCTTAGACCAAAAAAGAGCTTCAATCTTTATTGAGAAAGATCAACTTTCTGAGGATGTTCATTTCGAACCTTAGTGGAAAAACGCAAACATTTTGTCCATTACTCCGTTAAAAGAAAGAAAGGTTCAGATGGAAACAAGAGCATCAAAGGGATTTTGATGAAATAAAGGATAACTTGATGCACCCTATGATTTTTTCTCCTCCTGTTAGAAATAGGTGCATGAGGTTGTATATTTCTGAATTAGACTCGACTATAGAAATCATGTTAGCCCAAGAGGATGATAATGGCGTCAAAAGGGCCATTTATTACCTCAGTCGAGTCTTGAATTATGCCGAGACTAGGTATAGCATGATAGAGAAGTTGTGCCTATATTTGTATTTCTCGTGTACAAACTCATAACATTATATAAAGCATGTTGATGTTTACGCCTCTTCGCATTGCGATATCATTAAACATATGTCATCTAAGCCAATTTTACATAGTTGAATTAGGAAATGGGCCTTAGCCCTAATTGAGTACTCCCTGAATTATGCACCTTTAAAGTCCATGAAGGGGAAAGTTGTCCCCGACTTTATCGTAGATCATGTGATAGTCTAGGTGCCTCAAAATCATTTTGAGAAGAAACCTTGTAAGTTATACTGTGATGGCTATAGTCATAAAAATGGAACTGGAATTGGAATTTTAATAATTTCTCTTAGTAAGATTCTAACGAAGTTTAAATTTAAGATGGAGGGTTCTTGCTCTAATAACAAAGTCAAGTATAAGGCTTTGATAGTTGGCCTTGAAATCTTATTAGATTTAGGGGAAAAGAGATTCCAAATTAAAAGAGACTGTGAGTTGGTTGTAAAAAAGATAACAATGGAGTACAAATGCGTTAAAGAAAATATAATAATATACTTTGTTATAGCGAACTGACTAAGAAAGTGTTTCGAGTTTGTTGACATTCAACATGTCCATCGACTCGAAAATCAGAAGCTAAATGATCTGGCTCAAATTGCCTCAGGGTATAAAGTGTTGAAGGAAAAGTTGGGAGAACTGATTGAGGTTCGAGAAAAAGTAATGTCGACCAAGTTTTTCCCTTCAGATTTGTCAACGACAAAACAAGGAGTGTAGATCCCGAGAATTTTGAAATTTTTTGCCATTAATAATATACCAAATTCTGATTGGCGAAAACCAATAATCGAATATTTAGAAAATCCAACATGACCAACTGATTGAAAGATCCAGTACATGACTATAAGCTATGTTATCATAGGGGAAAATTTATTCAAGAAGACCCATGAGGGTATCTTGCTCAAATGCCTCAGCAATAATGAGGCATATTTTGAAATATCTAGTTTCCATAATGGGTCATATGGAGTCCATCAAGCCGGCCATAAGATGAAGTGGTTATTTGTTCGGCCAGGTGTTTATTAGCAAAGAATTCTAAAGGACTGCATCGAATTCGCCAATATATGCCAGGTGCGTGCAGACATTCAGCTTTTTCCTACAAGTGAGTTGTATGAAATCGTAAAACCATGGCCATTCAGAGGTTGGGCTTTGGATTGGTTGGTAAATTTCGTGAAGCATCGTCGAAAATCCAAAGGTACATTTTAGTTGGTATCAGTTACTTTACCAAATGATAGAAGCAATACCCCTAGTCAATGTCGACCAGGAGGCGGTGATAGAATTTATCCAATTTTTTTTTTTTATAGATTCGAAATCCCTGAGACCATTATGACTAACCAAGGATTGGTGTTCTCGATCAAAAAATGCAAGAGTTTTCTTATGAGATAAGGATTAAGTTGTTAACATCCACGTCGTATTATGCCCAAGAAAATGGTCAGGTCGAGGCGGCCAATAAAATTATAATCAGTCTAATTAAAAAAACATGTGGTGAAAAAATCAATAAATTACTATAAGATATTGGACCAAGTCTTATGGGCATGTCGAACATCCCTTAAGGAGGCAACGAATTCTACTCCCTTTTAACTAACTTTTGGACATGATATTGTCATGCCAGTAGAAATATCTTTGCAATCAACTAGGATTCAAAGACAATGAAATACCATATTAACCTTACTGAAATATGATGTTAGATGAATTAGTCGATTTAGATGAAGAAAGGGTATTTATATTAGATGTGTTTATAAGGCAAAAAGAGCGGGTAGCCAAAGTCTATAATAAGAAGGTTATAGCTAAAAGCTTCTCGACATGTAATCATGTTTGGAAAGTAATTTTGCCTATGGATCCAAAAGATAGAAATTTAGACAAGTGGTCATCCAACTGGGAAGGCCCATTTTGAATTGTTCAAATATTTTCGAATAATACTTACGATCTCGAAGAGTTATCACCAGATCATCAAGTCCTGAGAATAAACGGTAAGTATTTAAAAAGATACAAATATATGCTATAACAAATTAGATTTTCAACAGAATAATTTGTAAAGTACATATTCCCAAAGTGGTATTCAAAAGGGGTGGCAAAATGGCAAGTCATTACATAACAATACATAGCAAAAAGCTAGAAATCAAAGTACATATAAGCAGGAAACCTAGATTTAGACTCTTCAAGGCGTCTCTTAGAGAACATGAGTCTAGTACTAAACTTTGTAGTAGCTTCCTCCAATTCATCCAATTCTTCCTTCAGTTGAAGAGCAATTACAACATGTTAAACTCCTTTGTCTGCTTGTTGATCGATTTTCTCCCTAGTGCGAAGTGACTCAGCGACTTGCCGAGTTCGATTTTATGCTTCTCTAGGTCGGTAATTTCCTTGTTCAGTTTAATAATTTGGATGTGATAGTTATAGACTTGAAAGTTAAAAGAGGCCATTTTATCTTTATTCTCTTGAAGTTGAGCCTCGAGTTCATTGACTTGAGTTTCAAATGCCTCGCTTAGATCCCACTCTCTAACCATTTCTCCCTTTTTTTTGTTGAATTTGGGAATCATAATTTTTCTTAAGCTGAATTTCCTCACATATATGGTTGAAGAGAGCCTCGAAGTCGAACGAAAATTAGACAAGAGAATCTGGGATCCTTTGTTTATTGATCTCCTCCAGCAGTTTCTGAACATCAGTCCCAAACTTGGAATCTTTCTCGATAGGCTTGTAGAGGTGGACATCAAAGAAATTTTTCTTTGTTCTGTTGGATCATGAGGTTCACAGAACCATGGGACACATCAGCCACAAAGGCACTTGAAGAATCCAAATAATTGGCTCCAGCTGACAGTCGATGAAGTTTCTGAAGTCGCCATAAAGCTTCAGCCTAATTCTATTTTTTTATTGCTAAAATTTACTCTTGGCTAAGGGAAGTGTTGGAAGGAGTATCTTAAATCACGGGGTCCATTTATCCCCCCTTATTCCCTACAAGTTGGTTTTGAGTTGTCACCGACAGAATAGTTTTGATAACTGATTTTAACATTTCTTCCTAAATTATCATGAAATGAAGCAAGGTTCGAGGTCATTGTCCCTTTGAGGGGATAATTTACTGGTTCCGATATGTGGCTCAAGGTCTTGGTCATTAAGAGTAACTGTAACACCCTTTAAACCTCACATATATTTCTCATATAATATACAAAATAATTTAAATAAAATTACCACTCAAGGGTGTTACACTTCACAGTAAACATCATAATAATAATCCTCCTCAGTAACTCATGTTACATCAATAGTAATAACATCTAATCATAGTTCAACAAACCATTTAAGTCATCGCAGTGGATTCATCATCATAAATAAACTTATTCATAAAACAAAACTCACAATATCTTAGTCTCATCAAAATTTGGAATTAAAATTGGTTTAATAATCAAACTGTCATAAAGTATATCATCATAAAAGAACCTAACATTTACAAAACAAAGCGTTCTCAACCCGATGTTACATATTAGAGCAAAACACCTCTAATAAATAAAAAATAATAAAATACTCCAAGGATATATTCAATTATCATATAAGCTAGTCCTGAGCATCTGCGTGTTAGCCATGTGGAGGCAACATTCAAACATAAAAGGGGAGTAATCATCATTCATTATAAAAGATATAAGGAAAATATTAGCAGTTATAAACAACATCATCATATAACAACACATATCATTCATCAACACTTTATACTCACACTGGTACATCATAATAGTATTTATATATCTTTCTTCATCAAAATCATCATATACTCATACAGTTCACAAATATCATCACATCACAACTTATCAACAAAATTCATACAATGTCACATAGGATGTTAATGAAATAATACTGACTCAATGCATGTGGTACCAAAATTTATGAACACCTGGTTCATCACCCTCCATGATTCCCATCATAGGATCGATTCCCTCTTGCAATTGGAGCACATCATAAACGCACTCAATCCACGCAATGGGATTGAGGCTCATCACAAGCGGACCGCCGTCTAAAAATTCTATGAATGTATTATGCACACCAATGTCACATAAAGTTCGACCACGACTAGTCAATTACATCATCATTCACATAATAATATTCACATATCATGTATACATGTTAACATGCACATCATTAAAACATTAATCATCTCGTTATCATCAAATACCAACACCATAGTAACATCATTAGAATACATCAAATTACATCATTTCGACCAGAATTCATAATACCAACATATAATAGTTCAAGCTCATAAATACTGAAACACAAAAATAATACACCAAATGTTTCATAAAATTCTTCTGTAAGATAGTTTTGTACGTTAGCTTCCCAACGCTTCGAACGACACGTCAAACAAAGTCCTAAAACTCAAGTTACAACACTTTAAATGTTTTCTGCCAGTTTACTCGCCTAAGCCTCCCCCGACGACCCTGGGAGTTCCCTACTCGCCTACATTTCGCTTGATGCTCTCCCATTGAACGATGTGATTGGGTCCATCACTACCTCACTCATCCGACGATGTTGGGGAGACGTTCCCTTCCCATACATGTTCCAAGACCTCACCTTTTCCACCATCCTGCTCACCAGCTGGCTTGCCCGACGACGCTGGAGCGACTCGCTCGCACCGTGCTCGCCTCTGGCTCGCCCGATGATGCTTGTGAATCAACAACTTCTTAATTGTGATTTCGCTTCTATCCAGACCATACCAACTCCAATTCTAGACAACATACTCAATCTAAATAGCATTTTAATCACCATACATCACATAATAACATCAAAATACATCATTACATCATTATAGATAGAAATCATAAAACACAAACATCTTCATCAACAATTTCATCATGTATTTCATCAAATCAATCACACAAATAAAACCCTACATCTACTGATCGATAAAATATCAATTGTACTATTTTTACCAATGTAGTAATAAAAGGAAGCTATCCCGTGTATCGATCTCGAGGACTGCGTTAGAACTAACGGTGTTTATAATAATTCAATTAAACAAAAGAAAATTGGTGTGGTTGGAAGATAGGTAATAATAATTTGCACTATGAATCTTAAAACAAAAAGTAAAGAGTGTTTACACAATATGATAAATCATGCTAGGAATAAGATGTATGAATTGCTCCGTAATAAACAGAACCTCTATTTTTATACCATCTATGTTAATGTGATCCAATACCGATTCTCAAGAGTTGTTTCCCCTAATTCCTTAGCAAGAAACCACAAACATATAATTTCAAATCCTAATTCCTTAGTTATTCAAAATTATGCTAAACACATATATAAATATCAAGAATTTACGGTCATCACTATTAGATCCTTATTCCTAAGAGAGATTAGTGATGTTATTATACAATTAGCGATAAAGTGATCTATCCAACCTACTTTACCCATAGATCAATACCCTATTTTCCAATAGGACAAGCAATAAGAAATTGTATAATACAATGAATACATAAAAACATAGATTTCATAAAAGTATAGAAATTCGGTTCATCACAAAGAAATTCAGGGACACCCCTAGCATTGGCGGGTTTAGCTTCTTATAATATTCACAGAAAATACAAATTCAAAGTTAAACATTACAAGAGAATGGAATTTCTCCAATCTTCAGTTGCTTCCGCTCTTGATGATCTTCGTTTCCCAAACCCTTGATTGCTCTTCTCCTCTTCTCCAATTTCTTCTTTTTCTGATGGAAAAAAAAGTCCATCCTTAATCCTCTCAAAAACTAGGTCTAAGTAGTGTCAGATTACCCCACAGCTATGCAGAAAGCCCGAAATACCCTCAATGAACTCAAATAAATTGGTTTCAACAATTCACTTTTCTGTCTTGAGCTTGCCAACACGGGTCGTGTCAGGTGACACGGGCACCCGTGTTGGCCATTGGAATCCTTAAACAAAAGCTCTCCTATCAGACTTTCTAACACGGGTCTTGTCAGGTCACACGGGCACCCGTGTCAACCATTGTAATCCTCTTTTCTCTAATTAAGTATCAGCATTTCTGACACAGGCCGTGTCAGGTGACACAAGCACTCGTGTCAGCCACTGGACTTCTGAAGAAAACGCTCCGGAACTTGTCAACTTCGCCTCTATTCTTGTGCAATTTCACCAGGACCTGAAAATACAAAAACTACCAGACCAAGACTTCAAAAGTATCTTATTTATCCAAAATTCAAACTAAACTAATGCAAACAAACAAAATGTGAAAATTAAAATACGTGACGAAAACAGTAAAAAAAACTAAGCAAGGTGTTACCAATGATGCGTTTTGTGCCGGATAATAGATAGAAAACAAGAAAGAATGGTGACCGATCACAACCCCAAACTTATCTCATTACTTGTCCTCAAGCAAAGCTTAAGTCTGCAATATAGGTCACATCCTAATTTCAACAAACCATAGTACCACTAAGAATATTCGCAACTCCCTTACTTTCTTCTAGACCTTCCCTTCTTACCTGACTCATGGCAATCAACTACACTTCCATAATTCAGCACCTCTTCCTATGTCAGTTTTTCACACTCTCTCCAGATCTCTCAGGTTAAAGTGTTTATACTCTCTTGATCAAGGTATGCATCGTCATCTATTGAGTTTGTACAACATCTGTAAAGATAACACAAACACATAAAACATACACTATAGGAGGACTTTATTGGTTGTAACGGGGCTAATGGACAAGGTGAGATACACAAAAAGAAAAGGAAAATAAAGGGTTAATTGACTCAGATCCGGTGTTATCTATCTCATAGTTGTGTACTTGTTATTTTTCAACTCAAAGGTTGGACACATATTATTCGAGATATTCGGTTTCTTCTCCTTAATTGGATACTAGAGGAATTTTGACATTAAGTTTTTCATCGGATTCTTGGTGACGAGTGCATTCTCACAACATTTTTATTCTCTAATTTTTTTCAAGATTTTGTGTTTCTCTATATTTTTTTTTCATTGCTTTTCTTTGATTTTTTTCCGAATGCACTCATTCACTCTTATTGCGAGTGTCACAACCCCAAACTTAGAGTTTTGACACAAATCACCAAATTTCTAACACCTATCTGTGATAAGGTAGGGAAGTGTTTGGGCTAATGGTTTTATAAAATGTGGTTTAAAAACAAGAACGAGGATAAATCTCAAACTGGGGTAACAAGGGATAACGTACAAGGGTAGGCTCAACAAACTTAGGGCTACAAAGAAACAAGTGCCTCAGTGCATGTTTGTGTGCAGTATATATTCCACAAATAATTATGCAAACAAAAAGAGGCTAGGTACATACCCGACACTCTCTTGGTGCATTTGTGTTTAGCTATTTCTGATCCTCACCATGTTGGATATACTGACAGATTCAAAGGTGTCTTATGTGTTATGTAGTGTCATGTAGCTTCGGGTGTGTTATACTCTGGTCTAGTTCCGGAGTTAGGAATTGCGTCCAATTTTCATTTCAGTCATACCAACTTTCGGAGGTTTCCTAGAGTTCAATGTCAGGATTGATCGCTCTCATCCACTTCTCTTGGGTTGTCCATCTACTCCGGCATAGTCACCACACATCTGTAACACACAACACACAAAGAAACAAAAGATTTAAACTGAAATAACCAAATTTAAATGAAATAACAAGAAATGAATAAAACATACCAAATACTAAACTATAACCCCCCCCCCCCCCTCACACACACACACACACATACACACACTTGGACCAAACATTGACCTCAAT